GCCATCGTCTAAGGGGGTATCAATTTTAAAAAATACAGGGTTATAAGAATGAGTCGAAATTCATCACTATGTTATACTTCCTATGAGGGATTTTTGAACTTATTACTTTCAAGTTTTTAATCAGCGAATTTTCGAGCAATTTTGCGTCTACAAATCTTACGTTTAAGGTCGAGAGGAGTGCTCCACCCGAGCTATCGGCACAAGAAACAAAAGTTATGGTCGCAGAAGCACCGAAATCAATGGAAGGAAATGATTCGATTGTGTCAGCTGAACCGCAAGGTCTGTTTGGGTAATGGAGATTTGGAGTAAAAAATGGATAATATAGGTGGATAATATAAAAAATGGACAAGTATAAGTTTAGAGTAAAAATGGATAACATAATACAATATAAAAATGGATAATATAAGTGGGTATTTACGAGGAATTTTGTGAAAGGGACCTAATCAGCCTAAGAAAATTGTGCTACTCTTTAAGTTGAATTCAATTCGATTATGTCAATATATAGTATGATTCCAGAATTAGATGAACGAATTGAACAAGATAGCAAGCAGACAAAGGAATCTCAACGAAGTACTGAAATGGTGACGCCGATTATCACAGAAGAGAGTGCGGAACGAGATGTGGGAACTGCTGTCATAATAGCAAGCGAACTGGCGAAACAAGAACATTGTCAGGATGATGAAGAGGCTGAAGAAGACGAAAAAGAATGTCAAAAACACCAACCATTGCAGGAAGTAGACAATGATGATAACGTTCTTTCACTTCCAATGCAGTAAGTCAATGCTCTTTGATTTTTTAAAGATAAAAGTTGAACAAAGGTGTCTTTTTTCGCTCTTAAATCAACAGTGAAATGGCTTGCAAAAATATATTTTTTTCAAACTGATTTTGAAAATCGTTTTATTCAGATAAGCATGGTATTTATAAATTATCTTAACAGTCGTGTTCCTTTTTTTAGGGGTCATTCAGTTGTTGAAATAGTACACGAAGAAGAAACCGAAAAAGATGAAAATTTCCTTGAAATTGAGGAAAGTCCTGAGGCTGCACTAGCGCGAAAAAAACAGGAATATATTGCTAAACAGAAGGAGATGTTACAGAACGAAGTTAGTTTCGAAAAATACCTGTTATACTGGGAAAAAAACTTAAGATTCATGTCATTTCTTGTTCATAACAGTGGGATAGAGCAAAATTTAATCGCTCAGAGTGGGAGGTAAGCTTGCTAAAAGGGGAAGTTCTGGATAAAATTTTTCTGATCATAAGTTTTTTCAGAACAATGTTCAGTTGAATGAACGTATATACGGTCATGATTATTTGTTTCTGGTACGTGACATAGTGAAAGATATATTACTGGATTCCGTGTTGCCTGTAAAAGTATCCGATTTGAAAGACCTTGGCATTGACATTGCTTCGGCGCCTGCCAATGGCACCATCGGTGACCGTCAAGTTAGCTTTTCTTTATTTACTAGAGTTTATTGTCATATGATTCAAGTGTCTTTAATTTACATTGAATACACCTTGACATGCTGAGTTTTTTTTTCTTAACCAACATGGATGCGTGTGGCACGGTGATACGCTGTCTTGTTGAATGAGCATTCTAAATATCAGATGTCGTGGAAACAAATGTTTATCAATCGTTTTATTCATCACCATTCTATCAGAATTTATTTTTTTAGCGTCGTTTCGATAGCTCGGCTGGTGCAGGTGCTCGATTTATACCCGGTTGGGTGGATAAAAGCCAATCAAAACCAAAAGCGGTTTGTTCTTTAATAGTTCTTTTTCTTCAATCAGGTATCCGATTTAAGAAAAAAAGACAGAACTGGGCACTTTAAAAAAAAGACAGAACTGGTGAAAAGTGTGTGTGCAAATGTAACTTTTCCTGGAACTTCTCAGTTGACAAAAAAAAAGAAGAGAGAACTGGAACCCTAGAAAAATTTGCAGGAATTTTCATGTGCCATAAAATGTGCGTAACATTGATTTCATGTATTGATTTTATACATTGATTTCGTGTATTCTAGTATCATGGAAGACTTAGCGATCGGACTCATTCAAACCAGCGCGAGCGTGATCGGAAGAGGGTTCGTAATTAATTTGTTTTCGAATTTTGTCTTACTGATCGTGCTCAGTTTATGGCGCTGAGATTCAATAGTCTGCAGTTTGTATTTATGCTAATTTTAGCCTGCGGTAAGTCGGCCGTCAATTGATCGGCCTAATCGTGAACCGGTAAAGTTGCACAAAGCGGAGAATGCATGGAAGCCAGAAAGAAATATTGATGCTAACCAGGTAAAAATGAAAAATTCCTTTCTTAGTTTAGAAAAATTGCGACGAAATCACATTTCAATCATATGATGTTGGCTATCGTTTGTTGATGAAACTTATGAAGTTGTGCGTAGTTAATGAAGTTTTATATAACTTATGGTAGACTCAGTATGTATTGTTTTGTTTAAACAAGATATTTCATTTGATTACAAGATAGTCTCTTGCATGTTGCAGAAGTTGTATAAGAATGTGCGCAGTTTATTAAATAAATTGACGCCATCAACATTCGATGAACTGACACGGGATTTCTTGCGTTTTGAAGTTTATAAAAACAAGGAACAAATGGGTGAAGTGATCAACATTATTTTTGATAAGGCTGTTGAAGAACCGAATTTCTGTGCTCTGTACAGGTGAGTATGAGATTCTTTATTTGAAAGATAACATTGTTTTTTTTGGATCAGTGACAAAACAAGTCGATGGGTAAGACAAAAAATGTTAAGAGTATTACAAATTTAATAAAAGTTATTACCGTTGCAATTTTATAGCTAGCTTCGATTTTTTTTTCTTTGATAACGGATTCCTACAGTTTTTCTAATTATAGAAATGTAAGCGTGAAGTTAAAATGGTGGACGGACAAATCAAAGTAAAAAAAAAAAAGCAAATCTTTTATGCATTTTTGATCTGTGTGTTCTGCAATTCATCACAAATAAATGACACAAACTTTCGAAATGTTAACCAGAACTAAAAATTAGTAGAAAAATTGGATGTGTTTAAGTGACCTTTGCAAAATGCAAGTGGTGAAAGAATCGAAAGAATCAAAGGATAAATCAAAATTTCGAAGTGCTTTATTGACTCGATGCCAGAATACTTTCGAAGAGAAGCGGATGTCTGAAATTAACAATAAGAAAACAGAAATGGAGAAAGAAACTGATGTAAGTGTTTTGTATTGCACCTGTAACTGTTTGTAAATTTTAACTGATGATAACTGGCGAGAAAAAAAAATGAAGAAAAGGATATTGGTGGAAGTGTTGTATTTCAGTAAAGTAAGCATTGATAAAATTTGACGACAAAATATTTGTGGGTTATTGTACGTGAGAAAAGCAGTTTGCCATGATTTCGTTTGGAATTAATTCATTTATTGCAGGAGAAAAAGAAACGGGAATTAAAAATAGAATTGATGGAAATGGAAGCACGAGAACGGCGGCGAATGTTAGGCAATATAGGATTCATTGGACAACTATTTAGGCATGAATTGATAGTACCACGGATTTTAAATTGGTGCATAGTGCATTTGCTCAAAAATCACAGTGAATCACCGGTTAGTGTTTGAAAATTTGCTTGAGATTTGATTTTAATTAAAAATTTAAACGTTCAGTGTAAAAATGATTAAAGTTACCTAATAATCATGGGTATTGCTGCTTTTTTTTCCTATCGTACTCTTTACTTGATTGTGATCTTTTGATACATTTTGTTGCTATAAAGAAAAAAATCTGTTTTAAAAACGTTCTGGAATTACTCCGAACAGGATGGGAAGAGCTACTTGCAGGATGGTGATGAAGAAAGTATAGAATGTGCGGTCAAAATGCTTGAATCAGTAGGTAAGTTGGCTGATCGTCAGTGTCAACAGCAGCAAGCAAACTATCAATCGGGATCATCAGATGCACAGCAGGATCATCCTCAGGAAGCACAAAAACACGAAGAATTTAATACAAATCTTTATTTTGAACATCTGAAGGAAGTTTCAACAAAAGTATCGAATCGTGTCCGGTTTCTGATTCTCAATCTTATCGATCTAAGAAATGTTTGTTTCTAAGCTTTTTTTTACACAACAACAAGACGAAAATTATTTGAATCGATCTGAAATTTTGTTGGTGATACTTTATAATGGATTACCAGTTTAGTTTCACTCATTTTTATGCTTTAAGATAAGGATATATATTTTTTTTTTGCATTTCATGTGTACTTATTGAAACCATTGATGATATCGACATGTGCATTCAGCAGATTAAAAATTTGTACCAAATGAGATGAATTAATTTGAATCTTTTTTGTCGAAAAAAAAGGTTTTTATTTGTTTTCAGAATAAATGGGTGCCGCGAACATCGGAAAGTGGACCAAAAACTCTGGAAGAAGTACACGATGAAGCTCGAAGGGAAGAAATGGCAAATAGGTTACAGCGTGAGCAAGTATGTCATTCAATGTTTATTGTGCGAACAAGTACGTTCCTCAAACTTTGTTCCTAAAAGTATCCTGTTTTATTGTGGAATTTCGAAAACTTCTTTTACAGTATGCCAATAAAAAACGATATGAAGGTCGTACCTCGTTGGATAAGCGAAACCAAAGACCGGTATTGATTGGAAGGCAGTCGCAGGATGGCCGTCAATACGGACCGAGAGTTGGTGAGCCAAGTCGAGATCAGAAAGCACGAGCTGCTGGAGCTGCTAACCTTGTTGCTAATACTGCTAGTAGGAAAAATCAAACTCTGAATAGTGTATGTTGCTAATTTTTTTAGTCGTTTTTGGTTCTCTAAACAGTAGACATTATGTGTTTTAAGACTGTTCCAATTTCAGTCATGTATTTTGATAATGGAAATTAAATCTCATTTGCTACTTGCCTTATTTCATTAGTTTCAAAAAAGTCTCCAGACTTATCGGATTTGACTTTCTGCAATTTTTCGTTATAAATTCGGCATTAATCCAGACTACATCTGTAAATTCGAATTACTAAATGATTGCATGGCAAGTGCACTGTGCAGTGGATTGAACACCACGTTTTTTTGGAAAGACTATTATATGCAATTTTAAAGACTCCGTTTAGCTTGTAGCTTTCACCTTAATATTGACTGCAGCTATTTGAAAGTTTCTTTGATGTAAATTGTAGATATCATGTAGATGCAGGTGTTACAGGTCGATCAGCCACAGTCGCTTGGTGCACGCCGACCCCCATTTGCAGGTGGTGCAATTGGCGGAGGTCAGCAAATGGATAGGAATATGTTATCTCGTGGCGCGCTTGGTCGTGGAGCTGGTCGTGGCTCACTAGCTTCTCGCGACAACTCTCAACCGTCTAGTCGAGAACCGTCAGAATCTAGAAAGTCTAGAGACGAAGAACGCAGTGCAGTAAGTATACCAATTTCTTCTGGCCAGAAAATAAAACTTTTGACACTAAACTGGGGTAGTATAAACCATTTGCTTCACTATTAATGAAATTGCCATTTAGGCCATCGCAGCAGCAAGTGCTGTAACGCACAGTGCGAGCGCCAATATATTAAGGCGTGGATATGCGGGTATAGCAGCTGGTGGTTCATCACCACCATCATCAACTGTAGATGATGAAAAAAAAGACGGGAACCAAGTTAGCAGAGGAAGTGAGTTGGATGATAAGGAAGTATTTGGATCATTGTACCGAGAAGTACATGATTATTTCTCCGATTACGCAAGCATTGAACAGGTGATATTTTTGCGTTTTACCTTTCCTTAATATTAAAGGCGAGAGAAGTAATACGTAATTCATGCGATAGCATCATATTTTCGATTTTGTAATGTCGAGGAATTCTATTCTAGGCCAAAATTTTCGAGAAATTTTGATTGATTAGAGAATTCCCCTCAAGGGCAGCTGACAATCTCCTGAAGTTGCGGTACTTTAGGGGATGTTTTCATTGAAAATGAAAAGCTCATCTATTTCAGAAGCATTTATTTTTTGATCTTCTTGGCACTCAGTTCGATTTAGTATTTAAGTATACCATTATCTTACGTCATCATGCTTAACTTAAAGTTATTCCAATCAATCATGGACATAATGATCGATGAGAGGACAATGAACATGGACCTGCGTCGAGTTCGACAAGCATTTCGACTGCTTATGAAGATAGGTGTTGAAAAAACTAATGGAGATATTCGCAATCCACGGAGACGATATATTGGCCAGGTGATATGTAGGTGTTTACAACGACCTGAAATCAAAGGACATGCTCTTCGAGGGTTCGTTTTCTTTGTTAACAGCTTTGTGTTTGCAAATTTCTTTTGTAGATGATATTTGACACTAACAAAAGTGACCATGATCAAGGGTAAATGGGTGAAACATAAAATATTTCGTAATTACTGTTTATCTGATTTCATAATTAATGATTGCCGATGTAGACTTTAATGTTTCATCAAACTTGCTGGATAGAATTAGTTAAAGGTTCATTCTTTTGACTTATTTCTGCATGGAATAAGGTTTTTCGGTGGAGAAAGGGGGAGGGAGGAAGCAGGACGATTCTATTAACTGTTTTGTGTGAAGTTACCAGCTGACAATTATGTTGAAAACTAGATTCTAATCGTATATTTGCAGGGTTGCAGATTATTGCACACAAGTGGTTGAAATGGAGCTATGGGAGGATAACATGAGGATATGGGG